TTTGAGCCACATAGACGTGAATTTAATCCTGAACAGACGGTAGTTTGATTTAGACATACACTTGTTGAATTATCATAGCATGTTTGATTTGGGCCACAAACCATAACAGCTGCATTGCCGTAGGGATAATAACTATAATAGTAAAAACCGCTGCAAATTGTTTGATTGTTTGCACAAGCTGAATTATAATTCGTTAAACACTGTGTTCCACATGCATATTGTGTATTACAAAGTGTATTATTGTAACATTTCGATACAGATGGGTTATAACAGGTAAGACCCAATGGATAAGATGAAAAATAATTATTGCTATTTTGCACATTACAAACTGACTCTCCAGTACTACAAACTTTTGTGTTATTGTAACAATATTGAGAATTTGAGTAACAAATACCGTTGCAGGAATTAATACATTGAATACTACTATTACTACTTGAGCATCCTTGTATGGTTGGATCATAACACCCAAGTGATCCACATGGTTGTTGACCATCGGGACAAACCAAAGATTTCACGCCAATTATACATATTATAAATATGAAACTTACAGTAATCATTTTGTATTAAGCAACCAAAATATTTATCTAGTTGTTTTTTGCAGTGAACAGCTCTCACAACTATGTGCTCGTTTTCTTTCGTTTCGTTCTTTTTATTTATAGTTCTTTTTCTGTTGATTTTAACTACCCCGTATTTGTTAAACTAGGAAGTGATTTTGAATAGTCTATTATTTTACGCCCACCTGGGTCTTCAGCTATACAACTATTCATCTATTCATGCGATTAACTATTGATACAATCACCCATTTACTTATTCACATATTTACCTATTTACATAATCACCTATTCACATATCGCATATCCAGGCATGTTATTCAGCTATTTAATAATGCTGAAAAAACACATGAGAGAGAGAGGAGATTGAAGCAGGCGGACCCTCACCTTGAAAAATTAGAAGTTCTCTAAGAACATTTTATTCACATTTCGACTATTAGAATTATTTTACATATCAGTTGCAATGAATATACTACCAGTGAGTAGAGTTCGTTCTCTATTTGACTGAGTAATAATATGAATGAAAAAGAAACGAACTATATCCTGAAAAATATTCACTTTCATACTTATATTCGTCCTGGTAATGAAAACGTATTGAAATATTTATTTTACTAAAATATAACGAGTTGTTTTTTCTCACGATGAAATTAACACATAGTAATCCGTGTAACTTCTGTAAAATAGATGTCATAACACGTTTTATGAATAAAAAAAAACTTCAGTTTCTGTCAGATATTTACAACTTTTTTCATTGAATATTGCACAACGAACAACTGTAAGAGTCATGTTATTTTCCTTGTATGGATTTCATTATTTCGATATTTGGCTGTGGATGCCAAATGGATATAATATCCATACCCACACTCCTTATTGCAATTAAATTCTCAGAAACAGTTTAACTACAATATACGAATGTAATATAGTGCGTATATATGTATTAATATTATATGGAGAGTGAGAAAAATATACAAAATGGAAATGATACAATTAGTTAACAAGCAATAATTAACTGGAGAATGAAAAATGTAAATTGAGTATGTAAAATACTACATTTAAGAAAACAAAATCATTGTGGATATGCTATGTCAGAATTTGTGGAGATAACTTCAGTCAGTACAAGATATTAAAATCGATACAGAGCATATTAAGAAAAATGAATTAAGCAATTATGCTCTCCATAGACCATGTTTTGATTAGTAAATTCATCAGTAGCGATTAAGAAGGATCATTTTTATTGTATAGAAGACAAAAGCAATGTTTAAATAGATATCTTAAAGTCATCTTTTTTAATTACTATTCTGTTCAGTTTTTGCTTCGTTGATACTTTGTTCCAAAGTTATAATACGTGAATGTGTAGGTGGTAATGATTTTAAGTAGACTTCACGAGCTTTTAAAAAGTATTCTACAGCTTTGGCACAATCATGACTGTTTTGATAATTGGAACCGATACATTCATAAGTAATTCCAAAGTTATAATGATTTTGTGGAAGATACTGACGATCAACTTCAAGTGCTTTTTCATAATATTCAAGAGCTACATTAAAATCTTCTTTATCATGATAAACGTTAGCTATTGTACGATAAATATCCGATATTTCGAAACTATCTAAAGACAAAAGAATATTAAGTGCTTTGTGTTCATATGAAAGAGCTGAATCGAAGTCTTTTTTGAAGAAGTATACTTCCCCAATCTTTGCGTACGTTGTTGCAATATTCTCTTGATCATCCTCTTCAGTATATAGATCAAATTCTTTTTGAAAATTTTCCAAGGCACTATCATAATCTTTAAGTGCTATGTCAATAGCACCAAGTCCTCGATAGCATTGTCCTTTGTCGAAGATATCAGTTGTTGGATGTAATAATAACTGTTGAAAATAATTCGTTGCTTTTTCGTATTCTCCTTGGTTATATAATAAATATCCAAGTGATCCAATTCCTGCTTCTACTTCTTCTTTCATTTCTTTCATTAAATCTTTCAGCTCGTATTCATCGCCACTGCAAAGTGAAAGTATACTAAACCAAGTTTGTTCATGTTCCTAATATTCTATTTGTATTATTTTGAAAATAGAACCTATCATAATTAATACTTCTTCTTCCTCAGGAAAGTAAGACAAATTTTTTATGTTTACATATGGTTTTGTATTATTCATATGTGTATCAATATTAAACTGGAATACTATGCGTGTTTTCTCATCCGAAGGAATTGCACTAGCTTGTGCAAAGAAGAGAGCAGTTTCACGAGTAACACTTGTGCTTAAAAAACTTTGCATTGATATATATTGTCCAACATTTTTACGAATATAATATAGTTCTTGGTTAGATATTGCTTGACCTCGATATACTCTTAGAATAGGATCGTCATCGTTGTTGTATGAGTTTAAAAATTTTTCATGTTCAAATTTTAATTGCTCATATAAATCATTAATATAAAAACGAAGTGCTAAGAGGACTTCGTAATTAGATTCACGAAGCGCTTTATTAAGCGTATGATAAAGGAAACTTGGACGAGAATACCACCAAACGGCTTTGTCTGGTCGATACTCGTTTTCAAATTCTTCGATTACTCTTTGTTCAGCTGTATTTCCTTCATATATTCGTTTAAAATGACATATTAAATCTTGTTTGGCTGTAACATTTCCATCATTTGTCATCTGGAGTAAAATATCAATTAGCAATTGAAAATACATGAAAAGGGCATTTTTCGAATATCTTTCTTCTGATGTATTTACATTATTTTCTGTACTATAGACGTTCATCACAACTGCATGAGAATCGATTTGTGCATGTACATGTTCGTCTGCTAATACTGCTGTGATTAAATCTTTGGGTTTTGTATATATTCCTTTCAACTTCAAGAAAAAAAAATAGAATCGAAAGTATAAAAAAAAGAAAAACTTGATCTTACTTTTTCATATTCTTTAGTGTATGTTTCAGTTACCTTGTTATCAACATCGAAAACATAAACAGTTTTTATTTGAGCAAAATCATTTATAGTAGAAATAACAGTACTTTCAGATAAGTGTGAAACTATGAGTACTATGTTTTGGTTAACCAAATCAGCGAAATAATTCACACATTCATCTAATTTGTAAAAATTTTTGAATTGTTTGATGATTTGTTTCAGTTTCTTTTGTATTTCAATATTTTCCACGTATGAATTAACATCACTATCGAGCCATATCAGTATATTAGTTCCAGAATCGTTTGTAATATCTTGAAATCGTCGAATAGATCTGTTACTGGCCACCTGAGAGATGTCAGTATGCTTAGCAGCCATATTTACTTTCAAACGTAAAATGATGCTCCTTTACCTAATATAAATTAAAGTATGGGCCTGTCTTACTTCCTTTATTTCTCTATTTTTATATCATGCACTATTAAAGGTTACTGTTATGATTCATATTATACAATTTGATTTTTCTTCCTTCATTTCAATACAAAAAGGTAATGTCATGAAAGTAAGAACGATAATATTATTTCATACATTAGTAGAGTGATAAATAAATAAAAACATTGATACTGACTCACTAAGAAATAGGAAAAAGTAAAAAACATATTATGTTTCAAAAGATGAGAAATGAAACGACATTTTATTGAGGATGAATTAAATTTAATGTTTGTTTCAAGTTATCAAAAACGATGTATTGATCTGAATAAAACTTAGTACATTTTCTTCAATTGAATGACAAAGTTTCATACAACTATTTAACATCAGTATGATTCGGTGGTCATATTGGGTCATCATAAAATATCTTCTTATTCATAATACGATATTTACGAACTTTTTGATGAAAATCGCCTTCATTAAATATCAACAATTTGACAAAAGCTGAGTTAGTAGTTTCTTCGCATTTATACTTTATGTTGAATTCTACTAAAAAACAATTAAGTTTGTGTGTTCGAGAAGTATATTCGTATTTTATGCATATCGAATGTAGAAAGTTCATCTACATTAATAGTATATTTTCTTCCAACAGAGTACAAGTAATTATGTAAAGATCAGAATTCGACGATAAACAGTTGAAAAACTTAGTGACAACAACTTACTTTCAGTTATTTTGTTCTAAAATTATGTTGTTTTATTTTGTCAATAAAGCTTCGTCGCTCTCGAAGGCCATCTGAGCGTAATACTATATCTGCTTAATGTATGGTTCTTTTATACTCCAATAAATTGTTTTCTATTTTATATATGTTAAGTGATCACGGGTGGCATTCTTCTGTAATTGTGCTTTTGTTACTATAACTCTAAATGAATTAATAATAACATAACAACGAAAAAGTACGTAAATACGATTTAACATCAACATAAAGAACAGGGAAATTCTTGACACATACATGTTGTTTATTTATTGATAATTAAAAATACGAGCTATTCTCTTCTTTGCTTTAGTATATTGTAATCTATAAGGTGACGAAACGTTCGTCTATAATGATTCAATGATTCGAAGAGCTTTTGGAAAAATTAAGTTTTCCAAAGATCTCCTGGAATTTGTAACTGCTAAGGGATTAGTCAATTATGATTTTGACTTTGGTATCATACTACATAGTAAAAAAAAGTTATTATTATTACTATTAGCTTCATAGAAATTACTGATTTTTCATATAATGTTCTTGCCCATAGATAAACTGACGATGTGCATTAAATTAAAGATAAAAGAAAAGTACATATCAAAAGTCTAGCTCTACCAGCTTGATATTGAAACTATTTTATAATACCTATCCTAGTTACAATACAAACTGTTAGTTAGTACAGCATAATTAAAAAAATAAAATCTATAATATAGAAGATTATTTAAAAGTTTCACTATAAGATATTAGTTCACTTCGTGAACTTTCCGTTAGAAGTTCGATATGTAATTCGTAGGTTTTTATTATATTAGTAAAAACTGCGATTCCAAAATACTCATCAAATAGTCTGTCTTGATTTATTTTTTGTTCCACTTTACACATGGATAATAATTAGCTTCTATTGAAATTTTTTACTTCTAGATTATAACATTACACAACAATGAAACGAATTCTTATCACAGGCGCAGCAAATGGGCTTGGACGACATATGGCAACAAAATTCCTCTCTCGAGGATTCTATGTAACATTAGCAGATAATGATAAAATATCTTTGGAAGCACTTCAAAAACTACTTGAAAACGATTGTCATGTATTTCCAGCAAATTCGGGTCGCTCAACTCAGACACATGCTTTATTTTATAATTGTAACGTCGCTGACGAGTCATCAGTAGCTGCATGTGTTGCTGCTACCGTTGAAAAATTTTCTGGTTTAGATGCTCTCATCAATAATGCTGCTCTCGCAAGTCCATGGATTGGTGGCAATAATAATCCTGATGTACCATTTGATGCCGTACCTGTTTCACATTTTCGTAACTTCATAGAAGTAAATCTCATTGGTTCATATATCTGTTCTCGCTATGCTGCTCCGCATCTTCGTGCTTCAAAAGGTTGCATAGTCAATATTTCATCAACTCGTGCTCTTCAATCTGAGGCCAACAATGAAGGATATTCTGCAAGTAAAGCTGGACTCATTGGACTTACTCAAGCAATGGCTGTTAGTTTTACAGATTCTGGTATCCGAGTTAATACAGTTTCACCTGGCTGGATCGATGTTCGAGATATGGATACGCGACAGTTGGCTGAAGGTGGTAAAGGAACTGTTTTACCTCCTCTATCGAAGTCTGATCATTCACAGCATCCTGCTGGACGCGTTGGTGTACCTGAAGATATCACAAAAATTGTAGAATTCTTGGTAGACGACGTTAATGGATTCATTACAGGACAGGTAGTTCACAGAATTTTATATACAAATATTCTTTTTCGTTTTTTTCTTTTCACAGAACTTTATTGTCGATGGTGGCATGACTAAGAAAATGATCTATCACGAATGAATTATCAAGGACTATAGATTCATCTTATTTATGTTGATTTATGCATTTTTCATCATCAATCAACTTCATTTCCAACGAAAATATGAACGATATTCAATAAAATATAGTTGCACTACAAACTAAAATAATTTTGTTATTATCTAATTTTTGTTTAAGAAATCATATGTTTACTTTAAAGTTGGGAACGATGACTAAGAAAATATGCATCGGAAGTAAGGTTTCAAAATTCAAATTTCAGAAACCGGAGACTCCTCGTTAAAAAAAACTTATGGAATTAGAAAGCTATTTTTTGTCTTATTTTCCATATATTGTTCAAATGAAAACTTACTGATTTCTAGTGCTGAAAACTATCGTAAGACGTTGAAAGATATGAATAATGAATGAAAATGAAAAAAAAATATTGAGGACCACTAGGATCTATTCAAAACTATTTAGGATTGCTATAGTAAAAAGGCATCGTCAAAAAGATTACAAACAAATGTTATGATTTCGATTAATTTCTAATGGTTTTTTCTATACTTTCAACGTTCCCAATGACTTTTAATGGTTTTCAGTATAAGTTTTTTCCTTCTCTAACTATAGTAAAGGTAGTGATACAAGGTTATCTTGTAGTGAATTGGACACTTCAGTAATGTGATCCTCTTGCATCGAAAAACATTTGATAAGAGTTCATTTTTACTGCTAGATATGATCAAAATTCATGGAAATTAAGAAATCAGTTTGTTCATCTCTGCAAACAGCTTCAACTTTAAATTATAAAATCATAAGCAGCTATTTTTTACACTATAGTTGATGTTAGTTTACCTTTGCACGGAACAATGTGCATTACTATTTTTCATAAAATCAACTTGTTTTTTTTTCTCGTTACCAGTCTTTTACTCCATAATTAAATTGATTAGTTTTGCCTTTTCAAAGCATCTGCAACACATTAAATATCGTAGAAAATGATGTACGTTATAATGTCAAAGTTCACACATTTTCTATACTATAGAGAAAAACAAATTGTTGATTACCATCTTTTTCACATTCCTAGTTGTATATAGTAAAAAAACAAGGTAGTGTGTAATTTGAATAATGTTTGACATTTTGCACGAAACGAAAATAGGCAATAGTGTTTTTCTTGCATTTCTTATGTCATGTTTCAATATTAGATTTTTTTTTGTCATACTCATATCTATAGTTAGTTGTTTTTCTCAATCAAAAACAATTCCCTTGTTTTCTCTGCACATATATATATATACTATCATCACTTAGCAAGTCAATCATCATTTGTACTTGTATATTAAATATACTACATAATACAACATTATCAACAAAATGAGCGTATTACTCAGTTCAAGCACTGGTTGTTCATGTGAACCTACCCTCTATATTGATTCATTTCCACAACGAGTAAGTCAAAAAGTTGTACAAGTCAAATCCAATCATTCTAATGAACACAAACACCAAGTTAAATCAAGTCAAGCCAAGAGCTTGGAAAATAAATTTTCAATACAAATTCCTTTACATAATGGTGTTTTAAAACTCAAGTCAAGCCAAGTGAAAAACTCAGCAAATAATGTTAATGTCAAATCAAGCCATGCCTCAGGTGCATCCGATGCAGTTCAAGTTAATAATGAGTGGGCATTAATCTAACATGATTCAATTTCAAAAAATGGCTATAATTTCCATTCAACTGTCACTTAGCTAATATACATCAAAGTTTTTTTTTGTCTTCTCTTTTTTTTTTCTTTTTTGATAGCTGGTGTCAAATTAAGCAAGAATTCAACATATAAAACATATAATTAGATCTATTTGTTTTATTTGTTTGAATTAAAAAGATGCTAATCTTGTAGAAGAAGATCATAGAATATTTTTATAATATAGTCATTTCTTTGTCTTTTGTGAACTAATATAATATCATGAAATAAATATAAAAAACAAAACAATATATCTTACTTGTAAATGTAGATACAACAAGTCTAGTCAATATGGGAATATTCTAGGAAAGAGTAACTATTTACTGCTGACTCTATAATTTTTATAGAGAGACAACAGTTGATGTATTTCTAATATCGATATACTAGTTTACATTCTTTAGCCGATTATTACTATAATAGTAACCGATAGAGATAACAAAATGATGAATGTTTAACAAATGACCCTTTTTAATTAGGTATATTCGTTCAATATATGACATCTATTGGAGATATATCCTCTCGTTCTTTCTTAATAGTGGTATATTTATTAACCAGTTATATTTTTTACTACTCTGCCTTGCCTTTTGTACATCAATATTTGAAAGAGAAAGTTTATATATATATGGTTCATTGATTTGACATGATGAAAGTATTTAAACAAAGAAAAACTGGATTAATACCATTTGTGTATGAATATTTCTTATCTATTCCTCCTGATTACAATAAAGATAATAGTAAAAAGTGGCCATTTCTATTATTTTTACATGGTGCAGGTGAATCACATCCTCCAATTGACAAAGTATTAAATCATGGACCACCAAAATTAGTTCATAGTTATTTAACAAGTACACAAGATACTCAACCTTTAGCTAGTCTAAATTTAGAATGTTCAAAATTGATAGCAGAAAATTTTATAACATGTTCTCCACAAGTAAATGAAGGTTATGGATGGAATGATCAAGTTTTAATTAATCTTATTGATCAAATTGAACAAGATTATAGAATTGATAAAAACAGAGTTTATTGCACCGGTATTAGTATGGGTAAATTTATTTAACAATATTTATTTTAAAACTAACAGCTATCTTTATCTCAATAGTATTTTTTCTGATAAGGGACATCAGAGATCCATAAATATAAATTAACTGTAATTACTTCTAAAAAAAAACATCTATTGTAGATATAACAGAATCAATTTATTCTAGTTTACTTAATTGACTATATAATTAACGAAATTGTTTATGAATTAGTACAAGTTGAGACTAGAGAGTCCAGTGAAATTAGCTAGTATATTTAACTAATAAGCAAATGCCACTAACGCAAAATAAAATACAGAACATAGTTGACAAAGTACAATAGCATATGATTTATATCAATATCTGTGTTGAATATAAAATGGAGTAATAGAATTGCATGATTCGGATAAAATTTGTCATAGAAAAATATTTATTTATTTTATTTTATTAAAGGTGGCTATGGGTGCTGGTCACTTGCAATGGCTCAACCAAATCGATTTGCTGCAATTATTCCAATATGTGGTGGTGGTGATGAAAAACAAGTAACATGCTTAAAACATTTACCAATATGGAATTTTCATGGACAATTAGATGATGTTGTTCCAGTTGAAGAATCTACTAATTTAATAAAAACATTAAATAGTGAACTATGTAAATCAACAATTTATCCTAATTTAGAACATGATTCATGGACAGAAACATATAATAATAAAGATATTTATACATGGTTACTCCAACACACTAAATCTCACTAATAATCATTATCGTTCGAAATTTATTCAAGCATTTTCTGTAGAAAATATATCTTTTGTTAAAATAAACAGAAAATTATTTTATTAATAAAAATAATATATAAAATAAAATTTTTATTGATGATAAAACTGTATATATAAACGAAGTTAACTTGTGAACAAATGGAAAATAATTGATTTTTTCATAATTAAAGATTAACGAAACTGAAGCATGTGTTTTATCAATAGCGAATGCCAATCAAAATATACAGTATAAAATATATTCATATTAATTTTTTACAATAAACCTGATGTCTCGATCAAATTCAATGTATATCAATATATTTTCTACTTTTACTTTACTGGTATGTTTAATAGGTGATAAAGCAGGATTATTAGAGTTCATTCTATTCATATCTGTTCTATTTTTTTAAAACAATACAGAAATTTTCTATAAATTTTCAAACTCAATACACTTCTTGGTATTCTAGTATTTTATTGTGTACTTGTCAATGTCATACTTGACAAGTTTTGGTTAATGAATATCCATAATTAATCATAATTGTAATTGTCTCAGAAATATCTATAGACAATAAATTTTGAAGTTTAAACAATTTGTTAATAGTTAATTTCTATCTGACATCTATTTTATAATACAATAGTTATATTTAGCATAATTCTGCTATTTCTCCAGTTTTTGGTAAGAACAATGATTCTGAGCCAACATATCATGATTACTAAGATAGTTCGATGACTAAAAAATCGAATGCTTCTATTCTTTAATTATTTATATAAAAATCTTTAAAAACTTAACGATCTGACAGAAACTAAACTTTTCTTTTTATTTACGAGAGAATGCGTGATAATACCTATTTAATAGAAGGCTTACGGATTACTATGTTTTAATTTCATTGTAAGAACAAACAGCACGCTTTCATCGCCAGGATGAATAAAAGTATAAAAGTGAATATTTTTCATGGTAAGTCGCTTTTTACTCATCCATTTCATTATTCGGTCAGATGAAGAACGAACTCTACTCACTGGTAGTATATTCATTCAAAGTGATAATATAACATAACTGTAACAGTTGAAATGTGGATAAAATCTTCTTAGAGAACTTCGAGTTTCTAATTGATGTCCAACTTGCTCCGATCTGCTCTCTCCCACCTTTGGTTTCACCATTATTAAATAGTTGAATAACATGTCTGAATAGGTGAATTATATGTGAATGGGCGCATTATGTGAATGGGTAAATTCACTTCCTAGTTTAATATGTATGGGGTAGTTGAAATCAGTCGAAAACAAAACTATAAATAAAAAGAATGAAACGAAAGAAAACGAGCACATAGTTGCAGGGGCGTAAGTCAGGTGTCGGAGCAGGGGGGGGGGTGTAGGGGGGGCGTAAGCCTAGTTTTTCTATTTTAATGGTCAAAAAAAGTGAATTTTTTAGAAGCAGGGGGGGCGCAAACCCCTTTTTCCTATTAGTTTTCGGAAGCAGGGGGGGTTTTGCGCCCCACGCGCCCCCCCCCTATTTACGCCACTGCATAGTTGTGAGAGCTGTTCACTGCAAAAACAACTAGATAAATATTTTGGTTGCTTAACACAAAATGATCGCTGCAAGTTTCATATTCATAATATGCATAATTGGCGTGAAATCTTTGGTTTGTCCCGATGGTCAACAACCATGTGGATCACTTGGGTGTTATGATCCAACCATGCAAGGATGCTCAAGTAGTAATAGTAGTATTCAATGTATTAATTCCTGCAACGGTATTTGTTACTCAAATTCTCAATATTGTTACAATAATACAAAAATATGTAGTACTGGGGAGTCAGTTTGTAATGTAAAATACACCGGTGGTTATTCATCTTATTCAGTGGGTCTTACCTGTTATAACCCATCTGTTTCGAAATGTTACAATAATACACTTTGTAATACACAATATGCTTGTGGAACACAATGTTTGACAGATGCTTATTCAGCTTGTGCAAACAATCAAACAATTTGTAGTGGTTTTAACTTTTATAGCTATTACTATAACAATCCAGCTCTTATGCTTTGTGGTCCAAACCAAACATGCTATGATAATTCAGCGAGTGTTTGTATAGGAAATGGTACGCTGTGTTCAATTGGAAGTCAACTATGCAATGGTGTTTGTTATAATCCACAATCGCAATATTGCATAGGTGGTAACAACACTATTTATTGTACCAGTAATCCCTCTTCGCCCAACTGTCCTATTATCTCTACTGCTTCAACTCCTTCGACATATACTGTATTTAACAACGACACAGGATTAACAACAACAACAGCAACACCAATAGTGCCTTCAGGTAGCTGTTGTGCAGTTCAGAATTGCACACAAAACTCTGATTGTTGTGGATCTAGTTCAATGGAATGCCAATGCTTTCGACATAATACAGCTGATGTTTATGGTTCATGTATTAATCCTTTTCTTACTCCAGTGTGTGGTACAAGTTGTCCAGTACAAGGTAAATGTAAAAGTGATTCAGATTGTTGCAAATGTCAATGTGTCGACATAAGTTTTACTGATGTGAATGAACAACTAATTACAAAGAAACAATGTGTACGACGTTAAAATCTTATCTTAACACTTAGTTATGCAGCTCTTTACCATTGCTCTTTTTGCTTCTTCTTTATTACGTTTTCCATGAAGATGAATCTTCTAATGCGATTTATTTGTGATGTAAAACAATACGAAATGTTTTTTATCATTTTATGTTTTTATTTTTTATTTTTAAATTTATTTATCTTTTATATACTATCTTTTATTTCTGCTATTCAATATTTCATTTATCTTATCAATTATCAATTGACAGTAGAATATGATCGCGATGTTCTATCACAGTTCTTGATTTTTATCTCGAATATTTGACTTGAACGAAATAAATATCAACCGCTTTTTTTGTTTTTCTCTTCTTTGCATATAATGATGAAGTAACTTATTCAAGCATTATTTTGTTCTGTAATAAGTGAGAGAGAGAGAGAGAGAAGAAAAGATGAAATATGAATACATAGATTAACGATACAAAAAATATTGACCCGAAAAATCGTTTAGATTTTTCAGCCTGCTTCAATATTGATTTAGTACATATTAGACTTTATTATTGTAGAAATAAATATACCCTATTCATACATTATAATATTGAATAAATATGAAAAAACGATCAACTTTTCATATGCACCCTATATTTGCATAATAGAAGTGAATATTTTCATTTTCTTCTTCTCAAACCAAGAAAATGACCATTTTCAGGAGTATAATATGGACTGAATTTGCCAAGTACAAGTCTCATTTCATCAACTAATCGACACCAATTTGACGTTAGAGTACCGGCATGTAAATCAGCATTAGCTTCAATAAAAAGATCAGTGAGAAATTCTAATATAATTTTTCCACGCTCATTCATTGGCATACCCATCAATGACCCAAAAACAATATCTTTTCTTGTTTTGACACGTAATAATTTATAGTATCCTGTTTTATTTTGATTTACTTGTTCAAATTCGTTGAATACATTATTATCTTCTGAATTAATGTAAATTGTTGTTATATTAGTTTGATGAGTATCATTATCGAATAAGTTAAAATATTGTGAAAGCGGATATGCTTGCGACATTTCTCTATTTGTTACTTTGTCTGATCGACGTACATAAAGAGCAATATATGGATGATGAAGATCGACTGAAGGTGGATCAAAAGATTGAGCGATTAGATGTTGTACATGTGCTAATGTTTGTGCATTATATCGCATGAGATAAAATAGTAATTGTGAACGATACCAAGTAAGTGTTCGATTGTGAAATACATCTGGATATCTAGCCTTTTCCCAGTGACCTTTATTAGCAGGAATACGAATTGTTTGATTGCCATCAATTTTGGAAGGAATAGAACAATTAGTAATTGGTAGAAAGAAACAATCGAGAGTACCGAATTTACAATCACCATACAACTAAAGTATAAATATTGTTTTATATGAATTAATATTATTTTTTCAAAGAAGCGTATCTAATATATAAGAGCTTGCTTTAATATTATAGGATCTCTTCTATTATACGGAGAGTTCTGAAATGTTCATATAGTGAATAAATATTAAAACACAAACATTCATGTAGAATTACATAATCAAAGTTTTTTTCTAAATTGTCAACATGAAAGTCGGATATAGAGTGAGAAAGTGGTGATAATTATTATCTACAAATTGATTAGTTCATTCTTATCAATATTTCTTATTCATCAACTATTATTTTACATAAACAAATACTATACAACTGTTAATTAGTTTCAACGATTCTAAAGTAATTTTATATTTCTATACCCAATTGCCTGGTGTTTCATACACAGCAATTCGATCTTGAGCTAATGCTTCACCAAATGCCCATACAACTTGATGTATAGTTGATCCAATTCCAGACCATGCATGATTATGTATAATAGCGAATTTTTTATTTGAACAATCGACTGGATGTTGATGTTCATAAAACCATCTTTGTGCATTTACTGTTTCTTTTACTGAAAATTCGTTTATAGTTGTTTGACTACAATGATTCATTGTTTCATTTATTGACTGATCGACATAATTGACAGTACGACATGGTAATCGACGAATGATACGATAATAGTTTTCATCTGCAAGACGCATTGACCAAAGATGAGTTGTGTTATATGCAAAAGAAAATGAATGTAAACTTTGTTGTTGATTTGATTCTAATTCTTCTTGTAATATTATGTTTGAAGATGAATACAGAATAAATGGTTTAATATCTGTTTTATTCATATTTAAACCAATAAAAACACCAGCGATAAAAATAAGAACAAATCCTAATAGCAGAAATGGGGTGCTATCAAATTTTTCAGCCATTGTTCGATTGTATATAAAATATCAATCTAAAGAAGAAAAAAAACAGAATTATATTATATTAAATGTATAAAATATCTCCGAGAGAAATTTCACGTATCGTACAATGTTAATCAAATCATTGTTTTTTAATAGGAAGGTAACGAATTGTTAAAGATTGTTTATATAGACTCTGTTTAATCGACGAAGAATCTCTCTTATCACTTGAATCTGTATTCATTTGTAATTTTGCCAAATCAATTAAAATACTTTTATTTGAATATGAATTCATTAGAATGAGTAATTGTGGAGCATTTAATGTAAAATCGGTTTTACATTCAATTGAATGTTCATTATATTTTTCTAAAGTTGATGAACGAAAACTTTGTTCATTACAGGATGTATTTTGATCTTTTTGTTGTTGTTCTGTTTGAAATGAATTAATTAATGATGATAATAATATCAGTCGAAGATATTTATGAAGAAAAAGAAAATTTTACATCTGAATTTGATCTTTAATAAATAAATATTGTTCTTCAGTTTTTCTTTCGTAATGAGATCATTTGATTTATTTTCTTCTAAAATAATATTAATCTAAAATAAATACACAAATAATTTGATATAAAATTTACTTTCAAAACAATAAAATAAAATTTAAGTTGTGTTATTTGTTGTCGAGATCAGTTTTAATTGGAATTTGTTTTTCAATATTTTACTTTTCTTCTTGTAGAATTTTTTGAACAGATATCATTTTTTCAGTTGTGTTATATTTTTTTTTTATATTTGTGAAATGTTTTTTATCTTTTGATTTCTATTAATTTTAAAAAATAATAAAAAATGAAATAAAACAAAAAAAGAATAAACTAGATTTCGTTTTTGATTAAATATTTGTGGATATAGAATTGTTCTCATTAATTTAAATAAACGAAATGAATGCGTATTAAATATTCGACATTTGATCGATGAAACATTTCCATTTGCTTTCCGAGTTAAAATAAATAATAAATAATTATCTCTCATTTTCTTTTTCACACTGGATACAAGAATCTTATAATGTTCCGAAGCATCTGGATATATTCTCAGTTTCATAAACATTTATAGGAAGAAAACTTCTTGATTAGTTTGAATATTATTATCTTACCTCTAAGTATGAAACAGGATAAATGTGGATTTTTTTTCCTCTTCTTCAAACTTGAATATAAGACTCCAGACATATTATTAAATGCATCTATGCTTTCAGCAATCACACTATTCAGTAACCGTAAGGCATTTAAATTTTAAACATAAATACGAAGAATGATTAGTGCATATTGTCTTATTGCTTCACTAATTTCAGACGCAATAACCGTGTCGTACGATTAGTAAATGAATATATCTTTCTGTGTATTTACCATTTTAACAATCGCATGTCGTGATCATAATACATTTTTGTTTTGCCGTAAAACACGAAAAAGGTATATGCATATATTGTCTTCTTGTTTCACTAATTTCAGAAGCATAACCGTGTCGTATAATGAAGTAAATAAACATATCTTTTCAATGCATGTACTATTTTAACAAGCACATGGCTTGATCACGATACGTTTTTCTGCACTTAAAATAAGAAAAAGGTAAATGTATATATTGTCTTATTGCTTCACTAATTTTCGACGCAAAAATCGTATCGTATAATAAAATAAATGGATATATCTTTCTACGCATTCCGCATTTTATCAATCACATACCTTAATTACGATACGCTTTTATTTTACCTTAAAATACGAAAAAGACAAATGCATATTTTTTTGGTACATGTTAGATGAAAGATTCCCGTGATATTTTCAGATAGTTGGATATATCTCTGACTACGTCGACGTTCATATTGTGTCTAGAAACAAACTTTTATTGTTGTTCAATAGGTAGTTGGGTTAAAAATAAAGAAATTTCTAGTTTTTCGGGCCGAAATATCAACTGTAACAGAAATAAATTAATGATCTGTATGGAAGACTTGAAAAGAATTCAATTATTTTTCTTTTTAATATATAAATCAAATCGATTCGTCAATTTATAAGAGTTGATGAAGTTTGAACTATTTATTTGATTTAACTTCTTTATGAATTCATATGGATCATTTGTATTACCATGTTTTTTCTTTATTTCTGACTGTTTTTTAAAGTTAATTCATGGATTCCGTATAAAATTATCTTATTGTGTATATAAAACAAATGAACTACTGTCACTATATGTTGTCTATTAATTTTTATATACAAACATTTGTTATATGTCGAAAATATATTTATCAACTAATTTATTAACAACTTATTAGAATATAGATTTCTTAGACTAATCAATGTTGGGTGTGAGTGAGAGCTAAGAGACACTCATATTCACCACAAAAACAGTCCTCCACAGATGTTCTTTTCTTGTAAAACCATTCATTATTTTAACTTTTATTTTTCCTCTTTGAGAATAATAGTTATCAGAGGGCTCTAGTTGTTCATATTAGATATCAATACTTTTCAATCTATACAATAATATTATACTGTAAGAAAGTAAAAATGTTTAATAATTGTTGATAGAACTTATCCTGATGTAATAGTTGGCACATGTCGAATCAATCAAATCCATGTAACAAGAAAGGGTATGGGTGTTGGTGTAGCTGAGACTGTCTTTCAAGAAAAACAGATGAATCCACACCATAGTTATAATCGGTCTTCACCGGTTTCAGAAAAATATAGGTGTGAGTCAGTTTAGGATTATTTAGAAATTGTGCATCAGTACCGATTGTTTCATGAAAAAAAGAGTTACAATTCATTTCGACATATACATTCACACATTTTTTCTGATTATTTCAAGTAAAATAATCTGTCAGTCAATTTTTGAAAGAAGATTACAACAGATTTGTAATCAGTGTGACCAAACCGATCCAGTCGGAGCCGGATCGGTAGAGTTTTTTTCTAACCACATACAACTCTGATCCCTACTCTCAAGAATATTGTTTTCCTAAATATCCTGTCCATCACATTTTCGAAGAGAAAACTCACTTTACTATATACTTGTTTTTTTTTGTGAATTAATGAAGTTTCTTAGAAATGATAGTTTTCTACACTGATATTTAAAGGAATAGTATCACTAAGATCACAATCATTCTATAAATTAACATTTTGTGAAACACGATCTAAAAGGAGTGTTGAAGTGTTTAAGAGTAGAAAATTAACCACCCCCCCCCCCCCCCCCCACAGACCGTGACCGACAGAATTTTAAAAACCATCACAGACCGTGACCGACAGGACTTCAAAGACCATCACAGACCGTGACCGACAAAGCATCATGGAACGTGATCGGCAGGCCTACAACGACTATCAGGAACTTTGACAGATGTAACGGTGAAACAACATTAATTACAATAGGCATGCTTTAAAGTCATAAATATAAGCTATGTTACCCATAAGCAACACCAGTTACATTGTGTTTCACATTTTTAATCCCGAAGGGATTGCGCTGAAAGCTTTTTTTCTTTAAATTAGAATATATCTCGAGATTTTTAAAAAATATATTGTTTACTATCATTTATTATATACTTAACAAAAATAGATTCTAGTATTTATTTGCATAATTATCAGCATGCTGACTTAAAATAAAACAAGTTTAGTTGTCCAATATATGTCTAACCAATTCATTGAAAAAGCTGCTAAGTTGGTTTATTCTGACAATTAATTATCTTTGAATAAATTTCATTTGAGTTCAATAGTTCACTATGTGTACCATAAATTAATATTATGAAAACAATTTTATTGTTCAAAATTCTATTCTACTTACTTCTTCTTTCATTTGACCTTTATCAATAACAATAATTTTATCTAAATTTTGAATGGTTGATAAATGATGAGCAATTGTCAAACTTGTTCGATTCATTCTTATATTTTCTAATACTTTTTGAACTTTTCATTCATTTTTATTGTCTAATGCTGATGTTGCTTCATTAAAAGAAGAATATTTGCAGAACGAATTAAGGCACGAGCTATGGCGGCCAGTATTTATTATACTATAGACTGGAAATTGAAAACTAATTTTATAAATTTACTTCTTTGTTTTTGTTCAGCACATAACTGATTACCTCAGTAATGGAACATCAAAAATTATTCGTTTAAACGTGAGATCAATATATCAAGATCGAAGTGCTATAATTAGTTTTCCAATTTACAACAGGATGTTTAGTCCGTTTAGAAAAAGTGTCGCAAAAATACAATTTTGACTTTTTTTTTACATTTCGAGATAATTAAAACAAAAAGCAAAAGCAAAAGCAAAGATGAAATATAAAAATATCAATTAAAAAAACATAGATTAACGATACAAAAAATATTGACCCGAAAAATCGTTTAGATTTTTCAGTTCTCATCCAATATTGATTTAATTCATATCAATTTTTTATTATCGTAGAAATAAATATACTCTGTTCATACATTGTCATATTAAATAAATCATAAACGATCAAATTTTCATATGCACACTATATTTTCATAATAGAAGTGAATATTTTCATTTTCTTCTTTACATACCTAGCATATATCGATTTTCAGGCGTATAATATGGACTGAATTTGCCAAGTACAAGTCTCATTTCATCAACCAATCGACACCAATTTGACGTTAGAGTACCGGCATGTAAATCAGCATTAGCTTCGATAAAAAGATCAGTGAGAAATTCTAATATGATTTTTCCGCGTTCTTTCATTCGCATACTCATCAATGATTGAAAAACAACATTTTTTCTTGTTTTGATACGTAATAATTTATAGTATCCTGTTTTATTTTTGTTTACTTGTTCGAATTCATTGAATACATTATTATCTTCTGAATTAATGTAAATTGTTGTTATATTAGTTTGATGAGTATCATTATCGAATAAGTTAAAATATTGTGAAAGTGGATAAGCTTGTGACATTTCTCGACCTGTTACTTTATCTGATCGACGTACATAAAGAGCAATATATGGATGATGGAGATCGACTGAAGGTGGATCAAAAGATTGAGCGATTAGGTGTTGTACATGAGCTAATGTTTGTGCATTATATCGCATGTGATAAAATAGTAATTGTGAACGATACCAAGTCAGTGTTCGATTTTGAAATATATGTGGATATCTAGCATTCTCCCAGTGACCTTTATTAGCAGGAATACGAATTGTTCGAGTACCATCAATTTTGGAAGGAATAGAACAATTAGTAATTGGTAGAAAAAAACAATCCAGAGTACCGAATTTACAATCACCATAAACCTAAAATATAGTATACAGAGTTTTGAAATGTTCATATAGTGAATAAATATTAAAATGGAAACATTCATGTAGAATTACATAGTCAATGTTTTTTTTTAATTGTCAATATGAAAATCGAATATAGAGTGAGAAGGTAATGATAATTGTTATCTACAAATTGATTAATTCATTCTTATAAATATTTCTCATTCGTCAACTATTATTTTTATATAAATAATTGCTAAACAACTTTAATTAGTGTCAAAGACTCTAAAGTAATTTTATATTTCTATACCCAATTGCCTGGTGTTTCATAAACAGCAATTCGATTTTGAGCTAATGCTTCACCAAATGCCCATGCAACTTGATGTATAGTTGATCCAATTCCAGACCATGCATGATTATGTATAATAGCAAATTTTTTATTTGAACAATCGACTGGATGTTGATGTTCATAAAACCATTTTTGTGTATTTACTGTTTCTTTTACTGAAAATTCATTTATTGTTGTTTGACTACAATGATTCATTGTTTCATTTATTGAGTGATCAATATAATTGACAGTACGACATGGTAAATGACGAACGATACGATAATAGTTTTCATCTGCAAGACGCATTGACCAAAGATGAGTTGTGTTATATGCAAAAGAAAATGAATGTAAACTTTGTTGTTGATTTGATTCTAAGTTTTTTTGTAATATCATGTTTGAAGATGAATACAGAATAAATGGTTTAATATCTGTTTTATTCATATTTAAACCAATAAAAACACCAGCGATAAAAATAAGAATAAATCCTAATAGCAGAAACGAGGTGGTATTAAGTTTTTGCATTGTTGTTCGATAATACAGAAAATATCAATCTAAATACGAAAAAAAACAGACAATCATATTAAATTGAATGCATAAAATATCTCCGAGAGAAATTTCGCATATTGTACAATGTTAATTAAATCATTTTTTGATGGGGAAGGTGACGCTTTATTAGAGATTGTTCATAAAGACTCGACATTTCACTTATTTTATGTATGAAAGGAGAGGGAGAAAGAGAGCATTTTGTTAAGATTTTTACTATTCTTTTAGCTTAGTGATGGTAAGTATATTTTTTTGGTAATTTCAACGAAAAATCCTTATTTTAATCGTTTTTATCCAATACATTGTTGGTAAAGGAGTTTATTTTCTTCGTTTTCTGCTGGTATAATAGAAAAGTAACAGATCATATTTCGATGCGAAAAAAAAGAAAATTTAACTTTTTCCTGTCCAAGCTATTTAAGTTAGTTGCGTATGTTGAAGATTGGTAAGCATGTCACAATACTAATATTATCAATACTAATACCTACTAATACCAATACCAATATCTCAATGCCGTATTGGTATTGTTACATACCTAGAAGCAAGTGAGGTTACAAACCATATAGAAAAAAGATTCCAAAGTTCTTTCTCCAATCACTCGCTTCTATCTATTTACGTTTATAACATAGTTATAAACGTAGGATTTTAAAATACTTAAATAATGAATTATTATCTTATAAAAGCAATATGTAATTAAGACTCTAAATTTTTATTTGATTTAACATATAATCCAATTAACAAATTCATATTGATTTCTTATTTTATAGTTACTATTTTGATCTCTTTTATTGATAAAATTCTCCTACTTCGAAAATTTCTAACGTCTGACTGGAGAGATTTCAAAATTTTTGGAAAGTACATAACAAAACTATACCAATAAACTATTTTTTGATGAAAGAACGTGTTCTTATCTAGACATTTTTACCGATGTAAAAAGGAAGCGGCTGTTTCCTGAACATTATTATTTTCATTGTCATCTTTCTATCGTTTACGTTTAATGCAGTTTTATTCAAGTTATTCTCACTATACAGTCTTTAATAGAATTAATCAATTTCAAATGTATAGCTTAAACTTGTGAACAAAATCAATAAGAATGAATGGATCGTCTAATAAATTTCATATTAATAGAGACTTATATTGATGTAATTTCTATCAGTCTAATATTTTTATTTTCTTTCCAATTAAAACAAATGTGATTCTATCTTATTAAATCAAATGTTCAATTACATATAATAACTAAAAAAACAAGCTTCGAAACAACTAAATCATTAATTATGACTTGACAACATTTTATTTTATACACATATCAATTTTTGTTTATTAGTATCTATGATAAAATGAAAGTTTCTCTTACTTTTCATTACGATGAGTTAATCATTAAAAATACTTCAAAAATAAAAACTAATACACGTGACGATTCTTGAAAGAACATATGTTTATGCTTCTGGTATGACACTTTATTATATTTCTTTTTATCTAGAATGGCATCGATTCGAGACAAAGCATACACTTATATACTCGCCTATTAGAGAGAATGAAAGATACGAGAGAAAAGGGCAATAAAGACAAAATCTGATGGAAACAAAGTCTAACATAATATATAAAATAAGGACAACATTTGAAATGAGAAGGGATCATAAAAGTAGGACAAACATCATAACAATGAAAACGTGTTAGTAGATACAATTAAATAATTTTATTATATGAATTTTTTTCCATTCTTTTTGAAAAAAATAAAGAGTTGATAAAAAGAAAGAGAAAAAGTAATAAGTTAAATAAGCACACATGGCAAATACATCAGTCATACAAGCGTGTGCTTTTACTGAGCTATTTGTTTTTTACCTTACGGGATTGTCAGGTTTTCTTTCATCCTCATAGAAAAGAAAATATTTAATGGAAGAAATTTATTCTTTCTTTTGTTGATATACTTTAAGTTAAATAAATGGATGAATGAAAAACAATTTCATTGAATGCCTGACTAGTAGAGTTTTACTCTTTCTATTATCTTTTATCGATAAGCATATATATATATATATAAATGCATATAAATGAAATATGTCGCGATTTCTTCTACTTCCTTCCTTAGAATATTTCAGTTAACAAGGATGTGAGCAGATGGTATAGATAAGGATACAAAATTTCTTCTTCAAGCTTAGAGATACTTTCTGTAGAATAACAGTTTTTTTTCTAAAAATACTTAACAATATTCTAATATTATTGAAAGTGTCGAATGGAATTAGTTAAAGATAATGTATGATTGAGAATTTGGATATAAAAATATAATATAAGTGTAAGACTTGCACCCGTATCCATACTTGTGTACACATATATACTTAAATTAATTGCCATCAAAAGTTTTAAAAATATAGCAGCGGCGCCTTTTTATATAACAATTAAAGAAATATATTCCTTGAAACACGTTTTGTTGTGTATGTTTATAATATACTGATAAAATAATCTCAAGCATCTTTTGTATATAAGAGTATTTAATATATTATTCATTTTTACTTGTATAATTCTGATTTTTATACAATAATAAATAGAACATAGAGAAAAAGATAGATCTTGCGGGGTGGGTGTTTGCTTCATCATCACTCATACCCATACTCACTCCGCACAATAAATTATAAAACGTGAAGATATTTGAACTGAATAAAATCATGTGCATGGATAATAGATGAATTAGCTTCAAAAAAAAGCTCTCAAATGTATTGCTCTCAAGTTTCAACGTGAATCAATAATTACTTTTCTTCTCAATTTCAAAAGTAATACAATATCGAATATTACTTTATTAGTTCTTTCAATAATTCCACATTGAATCAATATTTATTTTTATTTTTATACTGATATGAATATTAGATCTTTTTTGCATACAATACAAACTGACTTGTAATTTTTATAGAAAATTTGTTATCTTAATATTCTTCTTTATAATCCCATTTTGTGTCATTGATTTTCGTACCACAGAATATAGCTCAGTATTTAAGTAATATTATAAGTTAACAAATATTAGATTTCTGTACAAATCTCATAAGGCAAACGTCAACGGTATTACTCTGTATTTTATTAATTCCAAAGTAGAGATTGAATGAAGAAATCAACTTATATTTGCAAAAGTCAGTACACACGATTACATTAAAGCTGTAGTTATTATAGCTAATAATGCAGCAAATACAAGTCATTATTTCGTCACATTTAATGATGAGAATGATAAATACTACGATATTATGTCGGACTCTTTCTTATTGAAGTTTCTGTGCTGGAGAAATTATTCATACTGCTGTTCAGAAAAGTGTTACTAGTAAAATTAATGAAAAATGAAATGATATAACTTATATCTGCACTATAGACAAAGAATTATCTATAGGAGATTTCATTAATTGAACTATTTAATGAATTGTTATAACTAAATAAGTAGCAATCGTATTGAGTTCAAAAATAGCACACTCTGCCAATTCTATGACTATATGATCTTTTGGCCCACACCAAAAAGAAAATCATTTCGAGGGTGAAGACATGACTTTAAAAAAACAGTAGTTAAATATTGGATATAAATAATATCACAGATATATAGGAGAAAGAAATAGTACAGTATGAAAAGTTTTTACTATAGAATATCAATAGTTACGAAACCATTTATCATTTTTTTGTGTGAAGTAATATTGAAAGAATATATTACAAGAATATATTCATGATATTAACTTGATTTCTTTATATCGAATTCATATCTTGTGTATAAAAATACAAATTCAGAAAATAAGCAACGAAGTAATGATATAAATTTAATATCATATAGCTCTTGCTCGTTCTCGACTCATACAAAATTCATAGGATAATTATCTGGCATAGTTAATGAGAAGAAAAAGATCATTGAAATTAATCTTTACTAGTACGAATGATTACATAGTATTTATTTTTTGTCATTGATTCCTTTCACTGAAAACAAGCAACATATAGCAGTTAAACACAGTCAAAATAGAAATGTACTATTTGTAATGTTGTACTTTGTGTCAGTTCATGTTTTCATGTGTATCACATTGTTCCGAATTACTAAACGAAATTTTTCAAAGAATTTCTTTTCAAAAAAAATAACAGTTAGCGTGTTAATTATGTAATCATAGGCAGCTATTTTTTCTCGTTACCAGTCTTTTACTCCATAATTAAATCGATTAGTTTTGTCCTTCAAAAGCATCTGCCACATATTTTATACCACTGAAAATGACGTACGTTATAACGTCAAAGTTCACACATTTTCTATACTATAAAACATAAATTAAAAGAACGAAATAAAGAAAAACAAATTTTTGATTGTCATCTATTTCACATTCCTAGCTGTATATAGTAAAAAACAAGGTAGTATGTAATTTGAATAATGTTTGACATTTTGCACGAAACGAAAATAGGCAATAGTGTTTTTCTTATATTTCTTATGTCATGTTTTAATATTAGATTTTGTCATACTCATACCGATAATTAGTTGTTTTTCTCAATAGAAAACAATTCCCTTGTTTTCTCTGCATATATATATATATATATACTATCATCACTTAGCAAGTCAATCATCATTTGTACTTGTATACTAAATATCACTACATTACGAACAAAATGAGCGTATTACTCAGTTCAAGCACTGGTTGTTCATGTGAACCTACCCTTTATATTGATTCATTTCCACAACGAGTAAGTCAAAAAGTTGTACAAGTCAATTCAAATCACTTCAATGAGCACAAACACCAAGTTAAATCAAGTCGTGTCAAGAACTCGGAAAATAAATTTTCATTACAAGTTCCTTTATATAATGGTGTTTTAAAACTCAAGTCAAGCCAAGTGAAAAACTCAGCAAATAATGTTAATGTCAAATCAAGCCATGCTTCAGGTGCATCTGATGCAGTTCAAGTTAATAATGAATGGGCTTTAATCTAACATAATTCAACTTGAAAAAATGACTATAATTTCCATTCAACTGTCACTTAGCTAATATA